AATTTGTGTAAGGGAATCACCATTGGCTGGTTGGCTTGCTAGATGGATGGGTGGGTGGATGGATGGATGGATGGATGTAGTACCATCTCATTAGTGCTGAGAAAGCCTAAATCTTCTTGCAGCTTTCATGTGAATACAGACTGAGTAACTGAAAAATATGAAAATGTGAGTTCAGGTTATATCACTTTGAACTTGTAAGTATTGTGATATCCTAAAGCCAATATGTATTTTAGAAAGGCAAAGGCTTGAAGGTCAAGCTGTCATATACTTCCACATAGCTCAAAGAGAGAAGAAGCCATAATGTTTACATTTACTAATTAAAGCCACCCTCCTCTGATTCAGCAGCATCTGCCTTAGCACTGGCAGCTATTATTGCCTGTGTGTGATAAAAAGAAAAGAGAAAACAAGACAAGGAATTAAGAAGATTGACAAGGATAAAATCCAAGCAATGCCTAAGATCAAAGACAGAGGCAAAGAGAAAGAAAAAAGGCACTCTTAGATGACACTGACAAAGTGAGGACAGGAGGCCGAGCCTGCTGTCCTGCTGCTCATCACTGTCTTTGGATCCTGTGGGGCAGCAGCTTGTGGGAGGTCAGTAAGGTGCCTGAAAATCACACTCTTGCCTGACTGGGGACTACGGGTTTCAACAAAGAGCAAACGACAGCTCCAGATAGCTACACCTTCAGCTCACCTTCAAACAGGAGATGTAAATAGATTCTCGGAGTTCTAGTTAAAGCACTTAGAACAGCACTTAGGAAATTCAATGTCAGATTAATTAAATTAATTAAATTCAATGTCAGATTAATTAATTAATTAAAAATGGTGGGTCAGGGATTTAGCTCAGTGGTTCCGCCGCCTGCCTCGCAAGGCACAAGGTCCTGAGTTCGATCCCCGATACAAAAAAAAAAAAAGTTATCTATACTTCCTCTTTTTTTTTTTTTTGGTACCAGGGATCAAACTCGGGACCTTGCACTTGCAAGGCAGGCACTGGAACCACTGAGCTAAATCCCTGGCCCTATCTGTACTTTCTTAAAGGCAGCTATTTCAGCTGTTGCTTATGCCAATCCTAATAATATCCCAAAATCGGCTCCGGGCGGGCGGCGGCGGTGGCAGCAGCACCGCTGGGCCACGTCAGCGCACATGAGCCTGGGCCCACCATGAGCCATGTCCATGTCCCATGTCCGTAAGCGCCGAGGAGGACAACTGTGAATCGGAGCCGGACCAGAATCGGGCAATGGGTCGGCCCAAGGGCAAGCTGGGCCCGTCCTCCACAGTGAAATTGGCTGCCAACCGAACTACGGCAGGAGCTCACAGGCACCTGACGAGATGCCGCAAGTGCGAGGCGTGCCTGAGGACAGAGTGCAGAGAGTGCTTCTTCTGCGAGGACATGAAGAAGTTCGGGGGCCCTGGGCGGTTGAAGCAGAGCTGTATCATGCGCCAGTGCTGCCCCACGCCGCTGTGGGCCTTGTGTGTGGCGAGGCGGGGAAGGAGGACACAGTGGAAGAGGAAGAGGGCAAGTTCAACCTCATGCTCGTGGAGTGTTCCATCTTCAGTGAGATCATCCACCCTGGCTGCCTGAAGATTAAGGAGTCAGAGCGTGTGATCAACGAAGAGCTTCCAAACTGCTGGGAGTGTCCGAAGTGCAACCACGCCGGCAAGACCGGGAAACAAAAGCGTGGCCCTGGCTTTAAGTATGCCTCCCACCTGCCGGGCTCCCTGCTCAAGGAGCAGAAGATGAACCGGGACAACAAGGGAGGCCAGGAGCCGGCCAAGCGGAGGAGTGAGTGTGAGGAGGCGCCCAGGCGCAGGTCGAACGAGCACCCCAAGAAGGCGCCGGTGGACCGCATCCTGCGCCGAAAGTCGGATAACGTGCGCCTGAGGAGGAAGGGGAACTATGAGAAGCCCCAGGAGCTGAGCGCACGCAACCGAGCCTCGACGCTGCAAACGTCCCGGGTTCCTCTCACCTCTCGCCGAGGGCCCCTCTAGGCAGCAGCCTCAGCCCCTGGTGGAGAGCCAGTCTCACTTCGAGCAGCAGCTAAAGCCTGGCAAAGAAGATAAGCTTTTCAGGAAAAAGCGGAGGTCCTGGAAGAACGCTGAGGACCAGATGCCACTGGCTACCAAGCCTCTGCGGCGCTTCGAGCAGGAGCCAGAGGATGATTTGCCTGAGGCGCCCCCCAGAAGCAGGGACAGCGACCACTCATGCTCTAGCTCGCCCACCGCAGGGCCCAGCACGGAGGGGGCCGAGGGCTCGGAGGAAAAGAAGAAAGTGAAGATGGTGCTGGAAACGGCTTCCCAATAAGGAGCCGAGCAAGGAGCTCAACCACTAGATCCAGAAAACAGAGAGCAGCCTGGCCCACGAGAACCACCAGCCCATCAGGTCAGAGCCCGAGAGCGAGAAGGAGGAGCCCAAGCGGCCGCTGGGCCACTGTGAGCGCCCCCACCGCTTCAGCAAGGGGCTCAATGGCACCCCCGGGAGCTGCGGCACCCACTGGGCCACGGCCTGCGCAGCCCCCCCCCCCGGTGTCATCTCCCGGCCCCCACCCTCTGTGCCCCCACCCAAGTGCATCCAGATGGAGCGCCACGTGATCCGCCCGCCCCCCATCAGCCCCCCCAGCCGACTCGCTGCCCCTGGACCATGGGGCGGCCCTCGTCATGCACAGGGAGGTGTGGATGGCCGTCTTCAGCTACCTCAGCCATCAAGACCTGCGTGTCTGCATGCGAGTCTGCAGGACCTGGAACGGCTGGTGCTGCAGTAAGCTGTTGTGGACCCGCATCGACCTGAACCACTGCAAGTCCATCACACCCCTGACACTCAGTGGCATCATTCGGCGCCAGCCTGTCTCCCTCGACCTCAGGTGGACCAACATCTCTAAGAAGCAGTTGAGCTGGCTCATCAACCGGCTGCCTGAGACTTGATGCTGGCGAGCTGCTCCTGGATTGCAGTCTCTGCCCTCTGTAGCTCCAGTTGTCCGCTGCTCCGGACCCTGGATGTCCAGTGGGTAGAAAGCCTCAAGGACGCCCAGATGTCCCCGCCCACAGATAACAGGCCGGGTCAGATGGACAATCGGAGTAAGCTCCCGAACATCGTGGAGCTGCGCCTGGCAGGCCTGGACATCACAGACACCTCCCTGCGGCTCATCATCCGCCACATGCCCCTGCTCTCCAAGCTGCACCTCAGCTATTGTAACCACGTCACGGACCAGTCCATCAACCTGCTCACTGCAGTCGGCACCACCACCCGGGACTCTCTGACCGAGATCATCCTGTCAGACTGCAATAAGGTCACTGATCAGTGCCTGTCCTCCTTCAAACGCTGTGGGAACATCTGCCATATTGACCTGAAGGTACTGGAAGCAAGTCACCAAGGAAGGCTGTGAGCAGTTTATTGTCGAGATGTCCGTGAGTGTCCAGTTAGGGCTAGTCGAAGAAAAACTCCTGCAAAAACTGAGTTAGTCCAAGGATAAGTGTGTAAATACGGGGCAGGGCAGGGAGTGGTGGCAGGGAAAGATGTCATAGCCACGGAGGGCTTTGTTTCCCACTGGAACTCTGGACCGGGACTGCAGGCGACCGCAATTCCGTGTGCAGGTCTCGCCTAGGGAGCGACGGCTCACCCCTCGCCAGGGAGTGAGGGGAGCCTGCTCTGCTCTGCGTGGTGACCACGCTGCTCTCCGGACCACTTCTCAGGTAGCCTTGGGAGGAGACGCTCCGGTCAGGAGAGGAGGGCTCACGTGGGCTTGGGGTTGGGGGTTGCTTTGGTGTTGTTTTTGTTTGGACACCCAGGTCCTTGCAAGGTCGAGGGTTTTGGTGTCAACATAATGTAGACCACATGCCGCATCTGCTGCCATCCTGACACATTTTGTTTGATTATGCAGAACTATTTTTGTACAAATTGTTTAAAAGTTATTTATGCAAGGTTTAAATACATACCAGTGTTTTTATTGTCTTGAGATTGCCAACCTTCCTGGTTTCCTTCAGGTAGGAGAGAACTCAACCTGTACTTCATCGACACAGATGTATCCAGACCTGAGCCGGCGGGCAAGTCTTCCACTTAAAAGCATGTTTAGCTGGAAGCCAGAGCCTGCTGTACACATCAGGAAGCCACACAAGCATGTTGTGGGTAGATGTAAATTATAGTCAAAGTAAGACACGTTGCCAAGTTTCCTCCATAAAGAAGTCACTTTTTTCTCAAGATTCTACAATTGAAACTTCAGCCTTTGTGCTCAGGATGGGTTTGCTCCAGCATGAGCTCTTGTACCTCACATCGACCTAATTTATCCCATGAGTCAAGGAGTAGAATGAATGTGCAAGGTGAGAAAAAAAATGACACTGACAGATGCAGATGTTTCCTTCAGCTCTGGTATGGGGGAGAAAATTTGGAAAGAGTCTAGAGCAAAAGTTGCTGAGACAACTGTCACAGTGTAGGCACTGAAAATGTCAAGGGATGAAGGATGACTGTGCCATGTCCCCAGTACACACATGAGATGACAGGAGAGCTGTGCTCTGCCAGACTCCCCATCCTGCAGCTGAGAGATGCACACCTGAACCCTAGGATGAAGACACAAAGGAGGAGCACCCGGGGGAGAGGTCCCTGTTCCTCTGTAGGATGACTATCTCTGTGTTTTTCCTTATGGTGCTTTCTGTATTTTACTGCAAAACTTATCTCTTGTCTGAAAAAACACTGCATAATTTAGTTTGTGATGAGAAATCATGGGAATCTATCTGGGATTTTCCTGTCCTCCAATAAGCAAGATTGAACAGTAGCTTCCAAGATTCTGCAGCCAAAGACCAATATGATTGCAGTTTTGTGAAAAATGTAGAATAGACTAATTACAAGGACATAAGATGAGTGGATCTAGCAGCAGGGGAGAAGGGAGGAAAGACCTTTGCGTATTGAAAACGTCTTGGAACTGGACAATGGTGAAGGTTGCACAACACTGCAAATGAATGAGAATGCACTGAAAATGCAGCAAGTTGATCATTTTAAACAAGACTAAAAGCTTAAATTTTATTTTAAATAATTCTGTCATTGACCTGTCTCTGGAAAATAAGAGTAACAATAAATATAATAATAACTAAATCTATAAGGGAGAGGAATTCCAGGTATGGGTCAAGGGTTGACCCCAAGTAGAGCTCAAGAGATAGCACTTGCTGTGGAGCCACCAGGAGTTGCAGCTCTGCAGCTGGTGGAGAAGGGGTTTCAGGTCCTGGCTCTTGTTGTGGGGTCAGAACTGGTGAGGGAGCTGCAGTTGCAGTTGGCACGAGCTCTGCAGGTGGGACATCAGCGTGGGCTGGAGCTGGCATTGCAGTTGCAAGAAGAGAAAAGATCACCAACTTTTCTTGTTCCCTTATGGGCAAAACCCTCTGCCTGTCAGAGACAGCTGTGTGCACCAACACAGCCCCAGGAAGTCCTCCCAGCCTGCAGCCCCCCACTGACTGCTGAATGTCTCAATGTTTATGCGTCACTCAACAGCTCACAGCCTTGCTGTGTTTTAAGGCCCGTATCCTCTCCACAGTTCCATTCTACAGCCCTCTCACCCTGGGGCTCTTCATCAGAGAACGCAGGAGGCACCAAGTGGTCCTGGAGACGCTCATCCTGGGGCTGCACCTGGGATTTCAGCTCCATTGAGGAGTCAAAGATAGAAAAGGTGCACCTGGGGAAGACAGGTAGGCAGCAAAGTGAGAGGCCTGGCCTTTAGATCCACACTATCTTCCCAGGGCACCTGTCAGTATGAACACGGGGGCCTCCTGCCCAATCTGTGGAGTGCCAGGTCTACAAGCTCCCCACCCTGAAAGGGACAGTGCAGTCCCAGGCAGCCCTGACAGGCTGACAGAAGGCTCCGTGGGAGGCGGTCCTTGTTTAGTGGTGTGATAGCTCTGTTTCTTCAGGGAAGCCTGACCTCTGCCTCTCCTCACTGGCAGGTCAGCTCCATGAGGACAGGGATTGGTATCTGCTGTGTCCTTGCCCACAAGGGCACAGGGCTGCTGCATTAATATGTGAGATGTGAGGGGTCAGTAGGAGTCTGTGAGTAGGAGTGAGAGCTGAGTCTCTTGCTCATGCAGTAATGGGTTGCTCAGTTCTCTGTGTCTGTTCTGGCCACACTCGCACTGCTTGTATCCACATCTGTGGAGGCCAGGAAAGGATGGAATCTACCTTAGTGTGAGGAATATCTGAACTGTTGCCCAGGGTGACTTTGTGGCCCCCAACATTGAAACCCAAAAGGGCAGTGATGGCATCTGCTCTGCTTCTAGGATCATGGTCAATGTTTCTGCACATAGTGTCTCTTCATGTGCATTCATGGATTGATGGCACCCACCTGCTCTTGTTATCCTGGAAGTCCTGCCCCAGGGTCTCCACTGGAGTGTGAGGAATCCCTGCCTGCACCGTGTTTACTGTGCAGACCTCTGCCAAGCTCTTGGTTGACCGATTTCCAAACTGTGATGAGACAGTAGAGTGTCATGGAATTAGTGTCCCCTCCCCCATTAATTCCCAGTAGAGTTTGAGGCTAAAGCAACAATGACACTCCAAATGGTCCATATAGGCTCATGACAGAGGGGGCACATGAAGGGCCCAGCAGAAAAGGGATTCTTATACTAAAAGTTGAATTTCAGAAGGAAACCTACAAATACTAGCATTATGTAACCAGCTTATTAGCTGCGTACAGGATGTATATAACTCCATGCATGAAGAACAACAGCCCATGTGTCCTGAGACAACTTCCCCTTGTAGAGGTGAGAAAACAGAGTCCCATCCTAGGTGGCCCAGTCCTTTATGAGGTCACACAGAATGTTCCCCAGGTTTCTGATGAAAGGCCCCCATGAAAGAATCAGGTCTGGTTTTCTTACCTAGTAAGGCGGAGTGGCTGTGTTCACTGTCTCCCTTATACAATGTCATTTAGCCAATGGGGACCCCATCCTGTGACCTGCAGAGCCTGTATAAGTTCTGTGAGACAGCAAGTGCCAGAGAAATGACAGAGTAGCACGGGCCTGATGTTTTGGGTGAGCTTGCCTCTGCAGATGTCATGATGTGTAAGAGCTGGAGACAGGGTGACAGGACAGTCGGGACAGTGCCACATGGGCTCCTGGACCCAGGATTTACAATGAGGTGAAATGCCAGAATGAAATCGTGTCAGGAAGTGAGGTGACTTAGTGTCCATGTTCCTATTGTGATGCTCCCACCAACGTGAAGACAGTGACAGTGCACCTGGCCAAGTGTGTGGCTGAGCGGAAAGAATGTTGAGGTTGAGAAGAAGAGACCCCAGACTCTTTTGGGACCAGGACCATGGGCCCTCTGTTTACCCAGCTTTGGAGGAGGTGCTGTGTGGGGAGCGGTGGTAGCTAAGGAGACTCCATTTTGAATCTTACCCTCCATTTCATGGAGACTATGTTATGAGGAACCGCGTCCTTACCTAAATTGGATGTTTATCTTCAGAGATTGCCCTGGAATGTGATGAACGTTCTGTAGCCCTGAGAAACAGGAAGGCCCATGAGGGTGGGGAATTGCCAAGGGACTGGAAAGCAGGGAAGCAGGAGTCCCTGGATAAGGGTCATGAGGTAACAACCAAACTCAGCTGTAACAACCAAATTCACCTGTAACAAACTCACGGGTTCTATAAAAGGGAAGAGAAAAATAAACTCAAAGCTCGGTCTTGGGAGCGCTGACGACTCTGTCTTTTTTCTTTTGAAGTGTGTTTTTCTTTCATCCTCACCCCTCCTCTCAGGTACTGTTCGACTAGTGACGGCGGGCCCCGTCAGTGCTGCAGTTGTTATTTAGCCCCAAAGGTCCTCTCAGTTCTCCTCTGTTCACACTCACACCCTGCACCTGAGCGGGCCTCTGCTGTTCCTATGGGGCCCAGTATCTGGTGTAGGCACATGGCATACAGGCCCAAGGCAACCTGCTCCAGGCCATTGTGCTGCATACAGCTCTGTGGGGACAATGCCCAGCAGTTGGCAGGAAAGCATGAGGCTGCATTAGACCATAATTCATTTTTTTTTAACTGTATATCCTTTTATTGGTACATTTTAGGTATACAATGTAATGACATTCATCATAGGAAATTTGCACCTTTACATA